TCTATATAGGCAGTGAGACTGATACAGATATATAATGTCTATATAGACAGTGAGACTGATACAGATATATAATGTCTATATAGGCAGTGAGACTGATACAGATATATAATGTCTATATAGGCAGTGAGACTGATACAGATATATAATGTCTATATAGACAGTGAGACTGATACAGATATATAATGTCTATATAGACAGTGAGACTGATACAGATATATAATGTCTGTATAGACAGTGAGACTGATACAGATATATAATGTCTATATAGGCAGTGAGACTGATACAGATATATAATTTCTACTTATACAGATATCTTAATTTGTTTAATTAATGATGAAAGATTACACGTTAGGTATGTGGACCACTTACCAGGTGTAAGCTACATGAGCTGCTGACTGAATAGAATCTCTTGGGTTAGACGTCAAGTATTTTCCAATGTTGGGGGTGAGGTTGACCAATAAACCAATGATAACTACACAGATGCCCTGGGGTTGGACTTTGTTAACATATTATCCACCAACACTGTAATTTACACCAAGTCCCCGGGGTTGAGACTTTTCCCGTTATGTAATCCACGATCACTGATAAGTATACAGAAGTCCAGCACGTTTTGTAGTCAAGTAACCATCAATGTTGAAATCTAAATACAAGAAACGCTTTAGGAAATGACTTCAATACACTAATAGTTTAGAGTATTGTAATCAAGCTCATAGAATAAACATTGACACAAGTATACAATACAGCTGTAATTCAACTGATACCCAACTAGGTGTCAAGTGTATCCTCATTATCAACAATCGATGGACCACTACAGGTTCAGTTACAGTCTGTGGTCCACTACTGGTCCAGTTACAGTCTGTGGTCCACTACTGTTCCAGTTACAGTCTGTGGTCCACAATTGGTCCAGTTACAGTCTGTGGTCCACAATTGGTCCAATTACAGTCTCTTGTCAACTGCTGGTCGAGTTACAGTCTGTGGTCCACTTAAGGTCCAGTTACAGTCTGTGGTCTACTACAGGTCTAGATACAGTCCGTGGTCCACTACTGGTCCAGTTACAGTCTGTGGTCCACTACTAGTCCAGTTACAGTCTGTAGTCCACTACTGGTCTAGATACAGTCTGTGGTCCACTTAAGGTCCAGTTACAGTCTGTGGTCCACTACAGGTCTAGTTACAGTCTGTGGTCCACTACTGTTCCAGTTACAGTCTGTGGTCCACTATTGGTCCAGTTACAGTCTCTTGTCAACTACTGGCCGAGTTACAGTCTGTGGTCCACTACTGGTCCAGTTACAGTCTGTGGTCCACTACTGGTCCAGTTACAGTCTGTAGTCCACTACAGGTCCAGTTACAGTCTGTGGTCCACTACTGGTCCAGTTACAGTCTGTGGTCTACTGCTAGTCCAGTTACAGTCTGTGGTATACTACAGGTTCAGTTACTGTCTGTGGTCCACTACTGATCCAGTTACAGTCTGTGGTCCACTATTGGTCAAGTTACAGTCTGTGGTCCACTGCTGGTCTAGATACAGTCTGTGGTCCACTTAAGGTCCAGTTACAGTCTCTGGTCCACTTCTAGTCCAGTTACAGTGTGTGGTCCACTACTGGTCCAGTTACAGTGTGTGGTCCACTACAGGTCCAGTTACAGTCTGTGGTCCACTGCTGGTCTACATACAGTCTGTAGGCCACTACTGGTCCAGTTACAGTGTGTGGTCCACTACTGGTCCAGTTACAGTGTGTGGTCCACTGCAGGTCCAGTTACAGTCTGTGGTCCACTACTAGTCCAGTTACAGTCTGTGGTCCACTACTAGTCCAGTTACAGTCTGTGGTCCACTACTAGTCTAGTTACAGTCTGTGGTCCACTACTGGTCCAGTTACAGTCTGTGGTCCACTACAGGTCTAGTTACAGTCTGTGGTCCACTACTGGTCCAGTTACAGTCTGTGGTCCACTACAGGTCTAGTTACAGTCTGTGGTCCACTACAGGTCCAGTTACAGTCTGTAGTCCACTACAGGTCCAGTAACAGTCTGTGGTCCACTACTGGTCCAGTTACAGTCTGTGGTCCACTACTGGTCCAGTTACAGTCTGTGGTCCAGTTATATATTGTGTTCCACTACAGGTCCAGTTACAGTCTGTGGTCTACTGTCCCACTTTCCTTCGGTAACACTCAACAGAAATGCTAGGCGATTCACTCACGCATTATTGATAAACATAGATCTGACCTGTCCTGCAGACAACTTACCAAATTAAAAGGCATTTACACTTGAGCACTTCCTCCCTGAATCCTGCGTACAGTGTAGCAGTTTCCATTGTGTCATCCTGATCTTTACCTATACACACAAATTTACAATGAGGACTTCAACACAGGAAATTGGTGTGTGTGTGAAGATCAGCTACTCTGTTACACGGATAGGACGGTGATCCCTGTACATACTGCCTGCTCCTCCTCCACTTGGGTAGCATGCCAGCTTTGATTATAAGCTGTTCACCTCAGAGTGAGGGTCCACAGGGGGGCGTTTTACAGTGTGAGATGTACAGCAGCCCTGACAAACATGCCATTGATAATCTTATCACCTTTCACTGTCACTTAATGTAGTCACCACAAAATGTTCCTTTGATCCTTGGAGTACAACATAACAATCCCATCATACAGCTCTCTACAATAATCACATTTCCTTCAACTTTCACTTATCCTACAACAAAGCAGTCTTAAAATCCTACCATAAGGATACAAGACATCCCAGAGTTTCATGGCGCCCACTGTTATATGTCTTCCTTTAAGAATGCATCATTTCTCTTCTGTTCATCTGTTTTTTGCTCTTAATCATATCAAATTTAAAAACTGTTTTGAAGAAATAGTAATAACAATATTTATCTGTCAAATCCAAGATGATTGTCTGTTAGCCATGCTATTTTTCTAATCAATCCCAAAAATGAAAAAGGCATAATAGGGACTGAGCTTAATGGGAAACCTATACCTTCTAAATCTAAATAAAATCCATGCAGCATTTCTCAATACATTGTGATAACAATGACACATTCATTGTTAAAGTAATTGATACACACCTGTCAGCCATTTTACTTTTCTGGCCAGTCCCAAAATCATTAGGGCACAACAACAGGCAAATTGGAATCTACATTTCAAATTTTCGAAAGATCCATCCACAACTTTTCAAGAAATAGTACTACCCAACCTTTATTGTGAAAATCCATGATGGGTACATGTCAGACATTTTGTTTTTTCTGATCTCAGTCCCAAAACTAATGGGCACAACTATTCTAAGGACAAAACTTACATAATATCAATAACAGGCTTTGTTCCAGGACTGATGTGAGACGGACTGATGTGAGACTGATGATGGACATACCACAGACAATGGACAAATGGACTGAAGATGGTCGGCTAATATACCCACTCAAAGTTTTAATCACAGCCTACAATCTGATGATGATCCCACTGTAAGATTTAAATCCAGGTCCTTGATGGTGGAATAATTATCCTACTACAAACTAACTACTTAATCCCATCCTAAATTCATAATTACACAATTATAATAATCCTATCCATCCTTCCAATAAATTGAAAATCCCACCACACAAGATATCAGAGATTAAACATATCAATATTTCCTACCAAGCATCGTCAATCTTGTTACGATACATCTGATTGGCTAACTTGACTAAAACTGTACTCGGTATTTGGATCACTATTTCTGTAATGGTTTGGTAAAGTGTGTTAAGATCAAAGGAAGCCACTAAATATACACCAAGAAGGTAGCAGCGAAGCACATATTATAATTCTTCAGAGAAATAGTTGCAGCAATTCCAGTTTATTACTTTAAATGATTTTTATACACTACAGTAATTAAATCCCATGTGTTACCAGGGCACATGTTTTTGATGGAACCCTGATCAACTTTAATGACATTATTATCTACATAACCAAACATGAAAAATTTAAATATATATTATATCAAAGGAGTGAGTTGTAATACTTGTACATATATCTCAGTTAGTGTCAGTTCAGGTCGATTTTATACTGTCCTGTTTAATTCATCTGAAAAAGTGGGGCGACCAATTCCTGATTCACTTGATAAAGTCACCTGATTAACTCGACAAAGAATTGAAGTTTAATTCACATAAGAATGCTAGATCATCTGACCAAGATTTCTGATTCACTCAACCTCTGGCCCAATACAAAAAAAAACTCGGTTTTCGGTTTTTGAGAAGAAGTTGTTTGAAGGTTTATACACACTTCACCTCTATGACCTTGAAATTGGGTCAAGGTCTTAAAGTTAATTTAAAATTGGTAGCAATTCATGCGAACACACTAGAGGAACAATATTAGTATCCAGGGAAAGTGCTTAATAAAAAGAAGTTGTTTGAAGATTTTAACATATCTGACCCCTTATGACTTCTTATGAATATACTTGGTAGCCCTTCTTACCTGCATGCTACAGGCCTAATATCAGTTTCCTGGGCCTTTTTGTTACAGTAAAGAAGTTGTTTGAACAAAAAGGATGATGATAGACCTCACTTGCCCTTTGCCCTTTGAGCAGGTTAGTTAACAAGAAAATATCTAGAATTGTAAACAACCAATAAATCTTTGGGAAAAGAATTTTTTTTCAACATACTCTCCAACAACAGTCCATATTTGAGTCTGAAAATAAAATGCCATCCTGAAACTTGGGAGTAATCTATGCAATCAACAAATGCTGGGAGTTCTACAGAGAATACTGTAGAATAGGTCAGTGTTATTTGAAGGTTTTGTTTGAACTGTCATTAGATGATCAGTTAGGATGCAGGATCTGTTTATACCTCTGAGTCAGTGTGTGATTATGTTGGCACACTTCTCCTATCACAGTAATCAATACTGTATATGTTCCAGTCTGATCTTTTATCTATTGGAACTGACACAGAGCTGATCATCCTGGAATCAGAAACATTGATAATTGAAACATGTCGGGTTTAAAGACTGTTGGAGAATACATCAGTTGTAGTTTAATGATGCATGGGGGAGGGTGACGAGAGGGTGGAAAGTCATACTGGGGAGTGTGGGGAGGGAAGGGAGAGGGTGGAAACTCACAGTGGGGAGTGTGGGGAGGGAAGGGAGAGGGTGGAAACTCACAGTGGGGAGTGTGAGGAGGGAAGGGAGAGGGTGGAAACTCACAGTGGGGAGTGTGGGGAGGGAAGGGAGAGGGTGGAAACTCACAGTGGGGAGTGTGAGAAGGGAAGGGAGAGGGTGGCAAGTCTCAGTGGGGAGTGTGAGGAGGGAAGGGAGAGGGTGGAAACTCACAGTGGGGAGTGTGAGGAGGGAAAGGAGAGGGTGGAAACTCACAGTGGGGAGTGTGAGAAGGGAAGGGAGAGGGTGGAAAGTCTCAGTGGGGAGTGTGAGGAGGGAAGGGAGAGGGTGGAAACTCACAGTGGGGAGTGTGAGGAGGGAAGGGAGAGGGTGGAAGGTCACAGTGGGGAGTGTGAGGAGGGAAGGGAAAGGGTGGAAAGTCACAGTGGGAAGTGTGGGAAGAGAAGGGAGAGAGTGGAAAGTCACAGTGGGGATTGTGAGGAGGGAAAGGAAAAAGTGGAATTTTAGTCAGAGTGGGGAGTGTGGGGAGTGTGGGGAGGGAAGGGAGAGGGTGGAAAGTAACAGTGGGGAGTGTGGGAAGAGAAGGGAGAGGGTGGCAAGTCACAGTGGGGATTGTGAGGAGGGAAAGGAAAAAGTGGAATTTTAGTCAGTGGGGAGTGTGGGGAGGGAAGGGAGAGGGTGGAAACTCAGTGGGGAGTGTGGGGAGTGAAGGGAGAGGGTGGAAAGTCACAGTGGGGAGTGTGAGGAGGGAAGGGAGAGGGTGGAAAGTCACGATGGGAAGTGTGGAGAGGGAAGAGAGAGAAAGGAAACTCACAGTGGGGAGTGTGGGGAGGGAAGGGAGAGGGTGGAAAGTAACAGTGGGGAGTGTGGGAAGAGAAGGGAGAGGGTGGAAAGTCACAGTGGGGAGTGTGAGGAGGGAAGAGAGAGGGTGGAAAGTCACGATGGGAAGTGTGGAGAGGGAAGAGAGAGAAAGGAAACTCACAGTGGGGAGTGTGAGGAGGGAAGGGAGAGGGTGGAAAGTCACAGTGGGGAGTGTGGGGAGGGAAGGGAGAGGGTGGAAAGTCACAGTGGGGAGTGTGGGAAGGGAAGGGAGACAGTGAAAATTCACAATGGGGAACATGGGAAAAGAAGGGAGAGGGTGGAAATTCACATTGGGAAGCGTTGGGAGGGAAGGGAGAGGACGAAAAGTCACAATGGCAAGTGTGGAGCGGGAAGAGAGAGAAAGGAAACTCACAGTGGGGAGTGCGGGAAGGGAGAGGGTGGAAAGTCACAGTGGGGAGTGTGGAGAGGGAAGGGAGAGAGTGGAAACTCACAGTGGGGAGTGTGGGGAGGGATGGGAGAGGGTGGAAAGTCACAGTGGGGAGTGTGGGGAGTGAAGGGAGAGAGTGGGAAAGTCGCAGTAGAGAGTGTCACTTTTAAGATGGGCTTTTATATGGATTATCAAGAAGCCTTGTCTCCTGATGCTCTTTTTCATTTGAAACCAACATAACTAAAGCTCTTCTTTAATTTCTTCAGTATTAATTCAATACTCCAGTCTAGTCCTGAGTCAACAAACATCTTATTTCATAGGGACACTTTAGAAATGTTAGCCCTGGTTTTACAGAACAAAGGAAAACAGAGATAATAAATATCAGGTTATATCAACACCTTTTATAATAATAAATGGAAATAACAAACATAATGGTATGAACTTCTCACAAACAATACTTTCCCACAGGATGCCTCTCTTGGTTTAACAACAGTGGGGTAAGTTTTAATTTGGTTGAAAGCTAGGAATACAGTATGTGTTTTTAATGACCATTAGATATGTTAACTCTAACAATGATCAGTCTACATTGGTGTCTAGATTTTATGAGATTATAACAGTCTTTCTTCTGTCTCATTATTCTTTAATGAGACACCATAATAGCTTGTCCCACAAATGATCTGACACACTGTAAAACAAGCAGTAGATAAAATATTTATACTGGTATAGACACTATATATTGACTTTTACCTGGGGAATTCTTTTTGCAGATCGTTTCCAATGTTTTTTATATCCAACTTTAAGCATTATTGTCTCTATGGTATTAAAATGCAGAACAAGTTAATGATTCAATATCAAAGGAATATAAAACAGGCTCAATGTTCACAATAGTCTTTATTCCTTTCTATATTTATATGGTTCACCAGCTATCATGAAGTTGTTAAATATTTCCTGGAACTGGAAGTTGTTATAAAAGTGTAAGATGTTTGCTGGAACTGTACAGCTGTAGTAAAACATTCGCTACAACTTTAAGCTGTTATGAAAACGTTAAAACTTTGCTGGATCTGTACTGATGTAGTTAAGTTGTAATATATTTTCAATTACTGTAAACTGTTATGAAAGTGTCAAATATTTGCTGGAACTGTAAGCTGTTATGAAAATGTTAAACATTTGCTTAAACTGTACGCTGTTATGAAAATGCAGAACATTTGCTTAAACTGTACGCTATTACGAAAAAGTGTAGAATATTTGTTACATCTGTAATGAAGTTGCAATGCCTTTGTAACACAACTCCATCAAGGAAAGGTTTTATCATTATTGTCAATAAAATTTCAATTTCTCAGTCGTCAAGAACGACAAGAAAATGCCAACGTGTCAACAGAATCATAATCCAAACTCAAATTCAATACAACTGTCACCCTGAGGATAACTTACAACAGCCCCTGACAGATTGAAAAATTTTTATACATCACTCATATGCATTCTTTTCTTATTGAAACCCACTGATGCAGAATTTAAAATATGCATGCACATCTACATATGTTTCCTTACATTCACATCTATTTTCAGTAAATTACAAGGTTAGGGGTACCAGTAAGGAAAAATTTCCGTCCAATCAGAAGTCATCTTTTGGTAACCACATAAGTAAAAGAAACCAATCAGTTGGACAAAACAATGCTGGAAACATCTGATGTGTCCAACTTGAGATTTTGGTAAAATACACAATTATATAAATCTTGAAACAAATTGTACCGAACAAAAAAAGAACTGCCATTATAACTACATATAGTGTGAAATATTTCAGTATCGTGTCACTGAAACTGATTCCCTGTTTTAGCAGAAACCATTATAGATTTTCAGCATAAGATGTATCTGAATTTCGACCAGTCAATTGAGAATAAGGTAAATAACAACGAAACCAACAGGCAAACTAAGGAGCATCAAACATGTTCAGCTTTACATCACCACAAAGATATAAAATATATTTCTTAATGAGATCACTATGACAACTGTAAGATGCGGTGCAGGTATGGTAATTGCACAAACAAGAAATATGTGATAACAGTGTGCTATTACGTGCAGGTTGTAAATGAAAAAGGAAATAAAACAATAAGATTTTATAGTAATTAATACAAGAAAAAAATTATTTGTAAAGGCCTAAGCACCTCCAGCAAAGAATAAACGCAGCCATTGTCATGTTGTCTGCAAAATAGCAATTCATTTACCACTAGAATCCACTTCTTCCTCTGTGTTTGTGTGTGAACAAATGGTTTGACGCTAACAACAGTAAAATTGAATTACACCTCGATGTGCCTGTGACTGTGCAGATGTTAGAATCAAAGAAAGCACGGATTATTGATCAACTGTTAGGATGGGAGTACTTTCTTACTAATCTGAGACAGTGGTTATCTGTATCACAAACTAAAATGGCATTAAAGCTATGTCAAAAGCGATCAGGGACTGTCGATGCCCTTGACCTTTCAGTCGTTTTAGGTAATTCCAAAGGCCACTTCAAACTAGTAATATCTAATATTGATACAAATAATTTTGATGATTTCCAGTTAAAAATAAAAATAATAATAATAACTAAACTCCGAGATAGCTTGTCCTGACCATTTAATTGTTTCCTGTCAACTCAGTTATAACCTGTATATATCAATTGTCACCTGTTCAATCAATTGTTACCTGTCCACTTTATTGACACCTGTCCAATCAATTGTTACCTGTCCACTTTATTGACACCTGTCCAATCAATTGTTACCTGTCCACTTTATTGACACCTGTCCAATCAATTGTTACCTGTCCACTTTATTTACACCTGTCCAATCAATTGTTACCTGTCCACTTTATTGACACCTGTCCAATCAATTGTTACCTGTCCACTTTATTGACACCTGTCCAATCAATTGTTACCTGTCCACTTTATTGACACCTGTCCAATCAATTGTTACCTGTCCACTTTATTCACACCTGTCCAACCAATTGTTACCTGTCCACTTTATTGACACCTGTCCAATCAATTGTTACCTGTCCACTTTATTGACACCTGTCCAATCAAATGTTACGTGTCCACATTATTGACACCTGTCCAATCAAATGTTACCTGTCCACTTTATTCACACCTGTCCACTCAAATGTTACCTGTCCACTTTATTGACACCTGTCCAATCAATTGTTACCTGTCCACTTTATTGTCAATCCTGTCCAATCAATTGTTACCTGTCCACTTTATTGACACCTGTCCAATTGTTACAATTGTTACAATTGTCAACTTTATTGTCCAACCACCTGTCCAATCAAATTGTTACCTGTCCACTTTATTGACACCTGTCCAATCAATTGTTACCTGTCCAATCACACCTGTCCATTTGTTACCTGTCCACTTTATTTACACCTGTCTATTGACACCTGTCTAATCAATTGTTACCTGTCCACCTTTTTGTCACCTGTCTAATCAATAGCTACCTGTGCACTTTATTGACACCTGTCCAATCAAATGTTACCTGTCCACTTTATTGACACCTGTCCAATCAATTGTTACCTGTCCACTTTATTGACACCTGTCCAATCAATTGTTACCTGTCCACTTTATTGACACCTGTCCAATCAATTGTTACCTGTCCACTTTATTGACACCTGTCCAATCAATTGTTACCTGTCCATTTCCACTTCCTATTTTCTGAAGTTAGTGAAAAACTTAATAAGAAGTGCTCTGATCTCAGCAGTCATGTTTTCCAGCAAAAAATACAAAAGATTATTGAGAGATGAGACCTGAAATCACCTCTGATAATGTCATGAGTGGATGTCCAACAGGTCAGCTCCTTGCTCCAAGTAATAATTCCAAAGTCGTTCTCATCAATTTCTTATTTTTAAGTAAACTTCTGAAAAAAACTGCACACACCATCTGCATCTGGAAAGGAAGAAGAGAGATAAAGAAAAGAAAGACTTACTTTCACTGTGTCTGTCTTGAACTAGCAGTTGGTAGACACTATCAGGCACCTCAGACAGGCGAAAGTACCACTTGATTCCAACCACCAGTGTCTCACGCTTAGTCTGCAAAATAAAAATCACAATGTTTCACATCAGGTGATAGTCAAATCAGTTGTTTGTCCTTTTCTCTCACTATAAGTCCTTGAGGACCAGCCAATCACAGCCAGGATAGATCAGCACAGACATTTCTTGAGACAATGCGTCTGCTCAAGACGTACAAGATCATCACCAATGTTTTAGGTAAGAGAAAAGTATCAACAGATAGTTGAATTTTGAAAGCATCATGACAATGATACTCTAAGGAATAACAACACAGCACAGGTTGGTGAGCGCTGATAATAGTGTAACAATCTGTGTGTATATGTTAGAGAGAGTAGACCCCTGGGACATCAGTGTATTCTACGTATTGATTGTACAACTTCTATAGGTAACCTAGGCTTCCTCATAGCATACTCATCAGCATCAACATCATCAGATACTACCCCAAGTAACCAGTACACAATACTACACTATACTTAATATAACAAACTATACCACACTATACACAGTATAACAAACTATACCACACTATACACTGTATAACAAACTACCACACTGTACACAGTAAAACAAACTATACCACACTATACACAGTATAACAAACTATACCACACTATACACAGTATAACAAACTATATCACACTATACACAGTATAACAAACTATACCACACTATACACAGTATAACAAACTATACCACACTATACACAGTATAACAAACTATACCACACTATACACAGTATAACAAACTATACCACACTATACACAGTATAACAAACTATACCACACTGTACACAGTATAACAAACTATACCACACTGTACACAGCATAACAAACTATACCACACTATACACAGTATAACAAACTATACCACACTATACTTAATATAACAAACTATACCACACTATACACAGTATAACAAACTATACCACACTATACTTAATATAACAAACTATACCACACTATACAAAGTATAAAAAAACTATAACAAAGTATAACAAACTATACCACACTATACACAGTATAACAAACTATATCACACTATACACAGTATAACAAACTATATCACACTATACACAGTATAACAAACTATATCACACTATACACAGTATAACAAACTATACCACACTATACACAGTATAACAAACTATATCACACTATACACAGTATAACACTATACTAGTATAACAAACTACACTATACACAGTATAACAAACTATATCACACTATACACAGTATAACAAACTATATCACACTATACACAGTATAACAAACTATACCACACTATACACTGTATAACAAACTACCACACTGTACACAGTATAACAAACTATACCACACTGTACACAGTATAACAAACTATACCACACTATACACAGTATAACAAACTACCACACTGTACACAGTGTAACAAACTATATCACACTATACACAGTATAACAAACTATATCACACTATACACAGTATAACAAACTACCACACTACACAGTCAAACACACACTATACACAGTATAACAAACTATATCACACTATACACAGTATAACAAACTATACCACACTATACACAGTATAACAAACTACCACACTATACACAGTATAACAAACTATACCACACTACACACAGTATAACAAACTACCACACTATACACAGTATAACAATCTATATCACACTATACACAGTATAACAAACTATATCACACTATACACAGTATAACAAACTATACCACACTATACATAGTGTAACAAACTATAAAACACTATACACAGTATAACAAACTATACCACACGATACACAGCATAACAAACTATACCACACTATACACAGTATAACAAACCATATCACACTATACACAGTATAACAAACCATATCACACTATACACAGTATATCACAGTACACAGTATAACAAACTATACCACACTATACACAGTATAACAAACTATATCACACTATACACAGTATAACAAACCATATCATAGTTAATTGGACTCCAGTTATTGTCAAACTATAGCTATTTTGTTCACTCAAGGCGTTGTTGAACTGGGGTATAATCATTACCTTGGCTATTCTTCTCTTACTAACATAATAACAGATATACTCACACTAGGTAACCTGGTAACTTAGAGAGAGATTACCCTTGGTCATCTTCACACTAGGTAACCTGGCCCACTTGTATAAAACATCTCAACTTGAGATTTCCTCAAGTCGAGATTTTCCTCAGCTAATATCTCCTTGAAAATATCTTGTATGAAAATTCCTCAAGGAATTTCAGGACATCCTAGCCAATGACTTCCTCCTGTTCCTTGAGAAAATTTTATACAAACTGTTTTTGAGGAGATATTAGCTGAGGAATATCTCGACTTGAAGAAATCTCAAGTTGAGATGTTTTATACAAGTGGGGCCTGCTAACTTAGAGAGAGGGGGCCCTTGGTCATCCTCACACTAGGTAACCTACTAACTTAGAGAGAGGTGACCTTGGTCTCCCTCACACATGGTAACCTGCTAACTTAGGGAGAGGTGGCCCTTGGTCATCCTCACTAGGTAATCTGCTAACTTAGAGAGAAGTGACCCTTGGTCATCCTCACTAGGTAATCTGCTAACTTACAGAGAGGGGACCCTTGGTCATCCTTACAATCCAGCATTTACCATGAGAAATCCTTACACCCTTGCTATTGCCAACTGAAATAGCAATCATTGACTCAACCTAGCTACTCAACCTAGCGTTTAATTTTCTTAAGAAACCAAGATAATCTTTAGCCATGTGTCCCTCAACTTCTTCCTCCAACGAACCAACCTACCAATTCAGTAATCCTCAACTACTAAGAATCTCATCCTCTCATTCTCTCTACTAACCACGCAGCAAACAGCAGACGATGAGTGTAATTAATCCCCAATTAGCACATAAATTAATCATTGCATTGCCTGTTATGACCCAAGCTGCTATGTCTCCGTCTGTTATTGAGCTAGCTACAACCTCCAGTATTGATCCCCAAGCCCATAGTGCTATTTATTCAATCTGCTGAGACCCTTTATTTGTGGAATAGTAAATACCCACTATGCTCAGTGTTTGTATAACAGTTTGAAATCCTAGCCCTCCTTTTTAAATTGTGTATCATTCAAGAATAAATAAATACCTACGTCTGAACATATTTAAGGGTTTGATGGTGTTTTATGCGTTTCTGAGCTGTTGTATTCACACAATGGCAAGACAAACCACTTGACTGGCCCGCAAGGAACTTCAGCACTTGATACAGAACTGGCTGATATGATTTACATCAATGATCAGCTGCGAGGCTTCGACAACACTCTGGTTACAATCAACACTCTAATGGTACTTTGGAGACATAACGCACGCAAATCAGGAAGTGCAGACAAAAAAACTTGTACAATTAATCTGTTGATTACACTTGTAATAGTGAAATGAGATAAAAAGCAAAACGTGTATTACAATCCTCTACCTCATGCTAATTACCCACAAAGCTGTGTTTCTCTTTAACATAATATACGAGTAAATATGTTCATTATGTGAATCAGTGATCAAGTGTTTCGTAGGATCTCAACACGTAGCCTTTCATCTAGCATAAACATTTGTGGCCAGGCTATAGCTGTAGGTATGTAATGATGGCCAGGCTATCGCTGAAGGGTGTAATGATTGTTTTATGATAAACATTTATGGCCAGGCTATAGCTGTAGGTATGTAATGATGGCCAGGCTATAGCTGTAGGGTGTAATGAGTGTTTTATGAGCTATATAGTTGTATTCACACAATGGCAAGACAAACCACTATAGACTGTAGCCAATGAGGAACTTCAGCACTTATAGCTGTAGGGCTAATAAAGTGATTTAATCATGATCAGGCTATAGCTGTAGGGTGTAATGACAATAAACATTTGTGTTACAATCTATAGCTGTACTATAATGGTTTTACATTTGTGGCCAGGCTATAGCTGTAGGTAAGTGCAGATGATAAAACTTGTACCAATTAATCTGTTGATTACACTTGTAATAGTGTAATGAGATAAAAAGTTTGTATGATAAACATTTTACCCACAAAGCTGTGTTTCTCTTTAACATAATATACTGTAAATAGTTCATTATGTAAATCATTTGTGATCTATAGTGTTGGGTGTAATGAGTGTTGTATGATAAACACGTAGCCTTTCATGAGTAGCATAAACATTTGTGACCAGGCTATAGCTGTAGGTATGTAATGATGGCCAGGCTATCGCTGAAGGGTGTAATGATTGTTTTATGATAAACATTTGTGGCCAGGCTATAGCTGTAGGTATGTAATGATGGCCAGGCTATAGCTGTAGGGTGTAATGAGTGTTTTATGATAAACATTTGTGGCCAGGCTATAGCTGTAGGTATGTAATGATGGCCAGGCTATAGCTGTAGGGTGTAATGAGTGTTTTATGATAAACATTTGTGGCCAGGCTATAGCTGTAGGTATGTAATGAGTGTTGTATGATAAACATTTGTGACCAGGCTATAGCTGTAGGGTGTAATGAGTGTTGTATGATAAACATTTGTGACCAGGCTATAGCTGTAGGGTGTAATGAGTGTTGTATGATAAACATTTGTGGCCAATCTATAGCTGTAGGTATGTAATAAAGTTTGTATGTTAAACATTTGTGACCAGGCTATAGCTGTAGGTATGTAATGAGTGTTGTATGATAAACATTTGTGACCAGGCTATAGCTGTTGGGTGTAATGAGTGTTGTATGATAAACATTTGTGGCCAGGCTATAGCTGTAGGGTGTAGTGAGTGTTTTATGATAAACACTTGTGACCAGGCTATAGCTGTAGGTATGTAATGAGTGTTGTATGTAAAACATTTGTGACCAGGCTATAGCTGTAGGTATGTAATGAGTGTTGTATGATAAACATTTGTGACCAGGCTATAGCTGTAGGGTGTAATGAGTGTTTTATGATAAACATTTGTGACCAGGCTATAGCTGTAGGTATGTAATGATGGTCAGGCTTGTATGATAATGATAAACACTTGTGACCAGGCTATAGCTGT